GAATATCTAGCTCTTCCATCCATTGAATATTTATCGAAACATGTATGCGTTTCATTGTAAAAGTGATACACAGTATATAGTCATTAACTGATTAATTAAGAGAAATAAAGTTTATGCTTATGCTGAAGATATTATTTATTTTTTAAAAACATGATAAAAATTTATCAAACATCAGAATAACTTGAAAAAACAATCATACGCTATTTGTTTTTGTTTTTTGTTTTTTGTTTTTTTTTTTTGTTTTTTTTTTTTTTTTTTGTTTTTTGTTTGTTTGTTTTTTTTTTTTGTTTTTTTTTTAATTCTTCGGGTAGTAGTTACATTGTATAATATTTCTAATAGCACCATTTTTTTTAACTCAAAACCTGCAATTTTACCGATCGACCGAACAATATTCAGTTATAGATATTATATATACGGCCGTACAGGTAAAATAAATCCGATAAGCCAGTCAACGGTAAGTCATACCGCCGCGGTCCATACCTGGCTACAGGTAGGACCGCGATGAAATAACCGCGGGGGTGTATCGCGGAAAGGATCAAAACACCGCGGGGGGAGCGCGGTTTAATGCCTAATCCGCGTTGACCGTACTGTACTAAACTGCCCCATAGGAAGTGATTGAAAATGAAGGGGTGGCACAACTTTATATTTTTGAGTCATCAGACGTCTAAATTGAGGGTCACAAGTTATGTTTCTTATAACATACTATATATCGGCAAAAATATTGGGGAGGGCCACCCCTAGGCCCTACGATATCTACGACAATGCCAAACGCAAAACAAAAATAAGTAAAGACCACCAAATAGAGAGAAAGTACATTGAGTGCTGTTGTATGTTCTTAATGACGTTTTCCTTTATATTTCTGGACAAATAAAATACTTAAGTTTATTTTATACTTTTGCACACATTTCATAAGTTTTATATAACCACAAAGGCATAGATTACTGATATTTACAAGTATATGAGTACGTTTTCTTGCTGATTGCAACATTTGACTTATGTGAGTATTAAATGCTGATTTATCAGTGTTGTCTTTCTTTGTATCTTTTGCGAAAGTGTTATTGATCAAAATATATTATGTTATCAATCGAGATTAGAATTGCAATATTTTTGTTTTTTGTATCTGATTCCACAACCAGATTTATATTGATATGCTGAATTCTATGATATGAATCATTGTTTGCAAAAGAGTTTAATCTTCCTAATTTTAAAAATGTACTCTTTTCTACTTTACAATCATTTATTTATCAATCATTTATTACACTCCTCCATGGCACCTGATCCCACCTCTGATGTTTCGGAGGTCCGTGTTTGCTTTGCTCTTATTTTGTATATTGTTTAATGGACGTTGAGATTGAATACTGTTCGTTATTTCCATATCATTCCTTATTTGTCCTTTTTTAATTTTTTCTTCCCAAATATGCTTGGGACTTAAATTTTTGCACGTGTAACATGATTCTTTGATAAAAATATATTATAAAAAAGAGAAACGCCAGTTTCTGATTCTTTCAGAATTTTTTTTTCAATTTTGTTAACATTGGTATTTTTATTTTTTGAACTGTTTCTTATTTTAGATCCGCCTCTCACTAACTGTAACTATTCTGGAATGTTTTTGGCGCCAGGAGAAGCACACACAGATATGACCAGGTGTTTAAGGTGTCACTGCAGGGCGGATCTGGGTCTTTATTGCTGCTCGTAAGACAATTTCTTTTAATTCGTTTTAGTTTGATTTATCTATTTTGAGAAATATTTGGAGATACAGAACAAATTCAAAGTCAAATTTCATTCAATCAATATAAATCAGTTGGAAAAAAATTACTCTAAACCATCAGAGGTGGGATCAGATACCATGGAAGAGTAAGCGTCCCCTGCTCCAGGCTCAGTCAAAGTACTCTTTGTCATGATGAGAAAATCACGGAAACTACGTCGGCAAGTCAGTGTGTAAATGATGGTTAAACAACTACTACAAATGTATAAAAAGTCAGTCATTTGATTTCATGATCGAATGTTTTTGCTGAAGAGACCATTGTATCGACCAGAGAACTTACGAAGTAATGATTTAAAACAAAAGTGTTGACAATTTGGTTTCACAATTTTTCTTAACAATATTCTATGTCATTTTAACTTTTTTTATGTGTACAGCATAATTTTGTGTATATAATTAATGGAGAGACATGAACCCTATTTGCAGGTCTATAGCTGACTAATTAAGGGAAGATGATATTAGAAAAGCTGCCGTACATTTATCAAAAAAGTTTGATTTGATGAATTGTAAGATTGCCATGAACGTCTTTTTCTAGTACATATCTAAATTTGAAATTGGTATTTCAGACTCTGTGATTGATAAACAAAACATCTTCAGTCTCGTTTACAGTCATGATTTCTATGATCTAAACAATAACTTTGTCAGCAAATACAATTTATCAAAGAGTCAAATGTGAACTAATTGTTACTCCATTATTGACAACAGATTTATCCATTATTTCCCGATCATGACAAGGAACACACATTGGGTGTGACCGGTCGGCTGGGGATGCTACATCCTCCATGGAACCTCATGCCACTTCTGATGTGTTGAAGGTCCCTGTTTGCTCTGCTTCTATTTCGTTTTATAGACTTTTGAACTTGAATACTGTTTGTTTTCTATATATGTTTCACAGTACAGTTGTATCTTTTATTTGAAGCCCATTGTGATATAAATTTTCGGCATACGTACGTAAATAACTATTCTTATTTATAATACGTCATTGATCTATCTATATGTATGTATTTTGAACAAATTTTGCTTTATATAATTTTTAAAAAAAGGTCTGTACAAATGGGGCGAAAATTGTACTCATCTTAACGTACAATTTCGCTTTTTTAGGAGTAAAGTGTACACAAATTGATATTTAAATTAAATGTAATTACCACAGAGTTAAATGACAACATATGTTTTATTTTCCGAAAAACACGTTTACAACAAAATGTTAGGACGAGTAATTTAGATTTCTAATGGAAATTACTCCGTCAATTGGTTCACTACACATTTTTATATAGAACTCACCATCAGGAATTAAATGAATATCTTTTTAGTTTTAATTAAAATCTAGCATGCCCGTTATCTTCTTGTTTTATACAATCATTCTTTTTTCCCAGTATGCTAATGCACTACACCTTACCCGAGGGATGCGTTGTTATTGAAAAGAACTGTACACAGAGGATTGTTCATAAATCAGATGGGTCGCCATGTCAATATTACGCATCATTTTCCAGGAAGTGACGAAAAATACAAGAAAAACAATTGCTTTTTAATGAATAATGTAGAAAATATGAATGAAAACAAATAAAAAAGAAATCTGTGTTGTACTTTTTTTTAATTATGCAAATATAGACAGGTTAAAATGGACACCTTCCACGCCAATAGAAAAATACTCCACTAAAAGGGGAAAAAATCAATGATAAGATAAAATGATTGCAGACATGTCAATAGTTAGCAACGAAAAAAATGTCACTGCTATTATGTATAGCATTAATTGAATACTCCTAAGTTTATGTTCAAATTTTGCATTAAAATTATAATGAAATCATGCATAAAAAAATTAATATTGGGCGATATTGCTTCATAAGAATATTCTTATCTGCAAAATTGGATACTGAATTAAAAATTAATCATAAACATTTTAGAAATAATTGAAAATTTGCATTAAGTCCAATTATCAATCACAGTCCTGGATTGGGGCCAAAAATGAAGATAAGCTCATTTTTGGTCCCAGTCTCACTTTTAGGTTTATAAAGTGGGAAAGTGAGACTGATATCAAAAATGCGCTCGTCTAAGTTTTTTGTTTTGCCTTCACCCCTCCCCCGGTTCATGATACATCTTACCTGCAGCGTGCAGCACAGCTGTTACTGTAGGTCCTACCATTAAATCCACAGACCGGGTCGTATATAAAGGGACAGGCACAGTTCCCTGCGTTTCTACACGGACACTCTCCCATACACTGTACCGAAACGCCTCTACAGAAAAAGGACAAAAGAATTTGTAAACAACAGGTTTGTGGGGGGTATCAATTGAATGGTTTACGAATTAGGCATAGATTTTGTTGTTGAAAAATATTCATTATAAATTCTATTAATATCTACAGGTAGTGAATTGTATCCTGAACTTATAACGATAATCAGTAATGTAAATAAAAAGATCTGTCGTAAATCTCTTGAAAGTAAAGTGTACATAACCCTGAGACAAATTGATCAAGTTTCGCTTTATGCTTCACTGAAATATGGAGATAAGAAAAGAAGTATGAAGCTGAAAAGTCCATTGAAACAATAAAGTGTCAGAGAAGAGCATACATGAACCTCTTTTAATTACAGAAGCGAGGCCATAAAACTTAGAGGAGCTGAATTTTGATCTCAGTCTCACTTTTCCACTATACATTCCTTATGAAAAAGTGAGACTGAGATCAAAAGTGAGCTCATCTAAGTGTTATGGCCTCCAGGCCAGATGCCTCATGTATTTCCCTTTTCATGTTCTCGTTTTTGTCCTAGCGAAACTCGCAAATAAATAAGAGAATTAAATATGAAACAACGAAAAGGTTTTACATCATTTTGTTTAAAGTCTTTGTATACTACTATTTATAAAATCATGACTGTTGATTAATGGAGGAACATAGAAAGGAAAAATACGAAGCATCAAGAAAAAAAAAAGAATTGTGAAATATCTTTACAGACCAAAAACTATGGAATTCACGAGAACTGACTGTCATGTTTTTTATATGATAAAATCAACACAGAATAATAAGAATTCTTCAACTGAAAAATATTGCTTTTAGACTATGGAGGGCGAAAGACAACTCTTATATATGTATGGAATGGTAAATATAAATAGTAACTGTTTCTAAATTGTAGGATATATAATTATGTTTTATGAATTCGCTAATTGCGTAAAAAAATTATGCAACATTGTATCAAACTTGAATTAGCTATTAAATGGTCAAACTAAGGATTTGTAGGTTGGAGTTACTTACGCACACCCGGCACATCCTGAGTTAGAATACGTCCTTCCGTTTACTCCACAGACCGGGTTATAAACTTGTATGCAAGCACAATCTATAAAGAACAAAAATATACGAGGAATAAATATCCCCAATATTCCTTTAAATGCAATTCTTTGTAGGAATTTATCCATTTATCAATTATCGTAAATGAGAAAAACTAATGATGTATGTAAAATATGACAACACATTCTGTTTTCATTACACTTTGATCTTTCTATAAAAAAATAAGAATATTTTTTTAAAAATAAATTAAATGATCAAATCTGTATAAAGATGAGCAAAGAATACACATGCAAAAGTAAATGAAATCTTATATCAAATATAAAATAGATTAGCTATATTCATTTCTACAATTTTCTGTAAGCGTACTTTTATAATATGAGAATTCACTATGTAAACAAATACCAAGTCTTACTAATTATTTTTAAGTTAGTATGATTTGGTATTTATTTTCACTAAACATACATTAATAATTTGAGAATTCACTAAAGGCGAGTGTGTTTTAATGTACTAGATTCATATTCCTTACTGTTTGTCTGAGAATTCACCATCGCTGGAGCCACCAAAAGTATAAGTAAATAAAGTCCCATCTTCCCTTCATTGAAAAAAGCACCTGTACTATAAACTATGATATCAAGTATTGCCAAGGTATTAAAATTATCATTAAAAATTGTACAATCTGCTTGGATTGATTAACATGTTTTCTATGAACGGGGGAAAATTCTTTGCATAATTTTTGTTCAATATTCCAAAATTTAACCGACTGCATTCAAATTTCTAATATTTTTCTTCTTATTTTAAATGTTTAAGTTCATTAATGATCCCTTTTAAGTTTTAAGTTACTCTCCTTTTTTGTTATTTTGCTATACAATGGCTTTAGGGAATCTTTAATAAGTTTTATGAAATAAAAAACATGCATTTTTCTTACCGTATTGTGGTAATGATTCAGTCCTTAAATACAACCAAACTCAAGTGCAAATAAATTTATACGATGGTAAGAACAGGATGAGAAATGCGAAAACAGGTTTATGCCATGCGTTCAAATTGTCCAGTGCATGTAATTTTTTTGTTATTACAAGGAAAATTTGTTTTATGATAATCATCATATTAGACATCAATTTGTTTTCTTTCAGATCATTACAGACGTACAGGTGTTTTTCAGGTTTTAGTAAATACATGACGACATTTGATCTAGTTGACTTCATTAGCTGTTCATGTATGTAATAACATGCATCTGATCAAGAACGAGTTAAAGATGTCTGTTTTTTTTTTTTATTTTTTTTTTTTTTAAGAGTTTATTTTTTTTTTGTAAATTACATTCTTTAATAAATTTCATTGCTAGGTGTATCATAGCTTATCTGTAATGAACAGGATTAAAATGTGATTTTTTTAAAGAAATCTTGAAAAAAGACTAACATAATGGTAAAAAACTAATTTATACTGGTATCTAAATTTCAAATGCAAATACGGGTCTTGAGGTTGTTCAAAACCATATGCGTTTTTCATACGTTTTGTTAGGCCATTACTTACACAATGAATTGACGACGGATTTTTCGTTATTTCATTATCATGTCAAGAAGCACATGGAGGATGTGACCGGTCGGCAGGGTATGCTTACTCCTCTATGTCAACTGATCAAACCTCTGATTTTTTGGAGGTCCGTGTTTGCTCTGCTCCTATTTTGTATTGTTTAATGGACATTTGATCTTGAATACTGTTCGTTATGTCCACACATTTCATGCATCTTCATATTTCATACATCTTTCCAAAATTCGTTTTATTTGAAATAATTTAAACTTTTTTTCTTTCAGGTGCTGACAATAAAAGTCAATTTCTTTGTTTCAAAAAAAAAACGATAACAACTGAACTATTAAACAGTAAAATACGCATTTTAATACATTTTCTTAACACAATAAAACAAATACAACGAGCATAAACAAATAAACAACTTAAACTGAAACATAAAACCTTCAAAGCAACAATTAAAGAAAAACATAAGAAATTTACATGTATAAATCTTATAGGGTAATGGTGTTTACTAATATATTTTTTGTTACAACATATACTTTGCAGATGTTGACATAAACAACCACGCAAAATGTATGTACTTAACTAATGCCTTTGACAGACAGTCTCCATATAGATATTTCGTAACCAAACATGCGCTTTTGGTGTATTTACTTACGTATAGAAAAAATAATTATGGATAAAAAGCGGATTCTGGCAGCAAATATTGTGGCAGTTTTGCTTATTTCCAATGTCTTAATCGGAGCTATGGTAAGGGTATAAAGTTTTCCGTTGCAAAGCTATGGCGTCTTACTTTGTAGAAGCGTTAAACTTCGTTTTAACGTGCGAACAAACACAAGCTTTTCAAACATATAAAAGTTTTAAATATTTACTTTATGCTTCATAAAAAGGTATATATCTATGCATGAAATTCTTAATAAGTGGTAGTAAGAGTAAGATGTGCATGTCTTGCTAAAGGCCTATAGGTTGAAGAAAGTATCTTGTTTATATTGATTGATTATTTATACTGTACATTAACATAAATGGCTTATCCAAATTTTAGTTCAACCACTGAGTATTAAGTTACCGTAATCATAAAGAACTGGGTACGGTATATATAACGAGGCGGCCCTGTCTCTAAATTTGATTGAAGTTTTTTACAAACATGCCCAGGATGTGTCCTTTCAAAATCATTTTATTTTTTGGAATTATCTCTTACCGTTTTTCCGCCAGAGGTTTGGGAAAATGGTGCATTTTTTTCAATAATTACAACTTTTGACGTAACGACGTCATCACGACGTTACTGATTTTAACGTTACGTTAAATGAAATCTGTAAATTCTCTTAATTGAGAACTATTTACTTAATCCTGCAAATATTCCAGTAAACCATTTTGAACTATCTTTCAATTTATCATACTTCGTTGATAGTTTGAAATAGTCTAATAATTTTAGAAATATATAATTTTTTAACAAACGATTGTACCAAACACGCTAGTCTACGAAACTTTATTCATCCGGATGAAATGAGGTGAATACTTAAACAGACGGACGGACGGAAGGACGGACGGACGGACGGAAGGACGGACGGAATTAACGATTACTATATACCCTCCCGCTTTTCAAGCGGGGGGTATAAAAAATTGAACGTATAGTTTATGAAGTTGGAATTTTTTTTTTTGGCAGTGAAAAAGCTATCAACGGAACTCCCCCTTTCATTCCAACAAATGACGGCGCTATAAATGTTGGGTCGTTTTTATGAACATATTAATTACTCCCTATTTCGGGGTTATATGATATGCCTCTTTCAATTTTCTTTGATTTTAGATTTTTTACCCTCGCTTGAAAAGTGGGAGGGTATATAGTGATCGGGGTGTCCGTCCGTCTGTTACGCTTTGGGGGTACCTCTCTTTTATGTTTTGCCGTTGCGTTTTGCCAAAACATGTGTCGGATCAAAAAGTAAAATAAAAGGTGCACAATGGCAATATGTTATTAAGATTCTGTGAAAGTTTCATTGAATTTCATTCAGTGGTATAATAGGATATGCGGATAAGAAACGGGTACCCTTTAACAGACAGACAGACGGGTGGACATATCGATTACTATAACCCTCCTGATTTTCAAGCGGGAGGTAAAAAAAAACACGAATTTCCGGGAAGGGATCCCAGAATTTAGTAGTACAATGTAGTAGTTCTGTCTAACAGGCATGGTTTCCTAGACTTGTAGAAATAAATATTATACTACATGTACATTGAAATGTTATGTGTATGATTTATATAGTTTATCCACGTCAGCTATGGAAGTCTGTGCGTTTTGTTTTCTAAGCAATGCGCAGTCACTTGCATTGATGTCGGCTGTAAACGATCGACCAACGGTCAAAGTCGAGAGGAGTTCAACAGAAAATAGGAAAGAACTGTCTCTAGTTTGAAATTAAATTCTTGATATAAACTTGTTCATTGGTAGTCATAATAGTACATCTTGATAATCAGTAACCCCCCCCCCCCACTTCTATATATTTTTCTATTTACATGAAGCAAAATACAAATAATCGAAATGCAGAATAACGAATAACAAAAACATTTAATCCAAAAATACCAAAACTTAGTTCAAGTCCCTTTTCTTATTTAAACTTTTTATAAGCTACATATTGAGACACTTTTGCAGTTACATGTATGTTATTAATATACGAAAACTAATGTTATTTTGTGTCGTGTGGCCATCGTCACTACGGCGAGCATTTCTTTTTTTACAGAGTTAGGTTTGTCATTCCCGGATTACCATTAGAAAGCGAGATTGGGTTTCTAACAAAATAAGTTGTTTTTTTCTTGAAAGTTGTTTTAATGAAAAATTCTTTTAAAGTATACCTCACAAACAGCTGACACGACTTTGTATTAAGTCATTTACGTGACTATACATCTACTAAGACAAAAACTGCTAAAACATAGACATTTTTGATATTGATTATGCTTTACAATACCTCCTAAATGTAAATGTTTATAGATATTTAAAAGATTTCAGTGACAATAATAATTTCAATTCCAATCTTGTCGCACTTCCTTTGGAAACATTAACTTTCTGGGGCATTCGCAATTTTTTACGTCATTTGTTCTTAAAATACTTTTCATATTTTTTCGGAACGAATTATCATCGCAGACGGAAGTTAACATCTTTAAAATTCAGATCTGATGTGTACCATTTTCACTACGGTGATATGGACTGGACACCCCTCCCCACCTTCTCAGCCCTTATGAATGTCATTTGTATCAATATTTATATCCTATGACATATTTAATGTATTATTTTATGGGCAATTTTGTTGAAATTCTTTTAAATCCCAACAATGTTTTGTCTAATACATTCGTTTTAACACAGATAATTTTAAAAAGCAATTTAAAGTCTTATAAATGACTTAATTAATTTCTGAAAAAGTCCTAATCGAACTAGATACATCGATTGTATGCAGCGGAAGGGGAAAAGCATGTCTCTTGTCAAAAATTATGCAATTGTTTCTATTTCTTGGATATACAGCGGATTCATATATGCTAAAATTGCCTTCACTTGTCTGTGTAAAGAAAAGTGTTAATTGCTTTTGGGAACTGTTAATCTTTATTCAGACACAAATAAATAGTTGATTGCATCATGTTTCTTTTTAAAATTACATAGAAATTGCCGAAAACACTCACAACTGTAGCCATACAAAATTTGTCAAAATAATATTATTTCATTATCTAAACTCCGTATAGAGTACAGTTGCGGATTCATGAATTTAATAAAGGGGGAGGGGTACATCATCGCAAACCACGGTCAAAATGTACGATCCTCTCCCATTGTAGGAGAGAGCTATATGCGGAAATTGGACCGTGGCTTGAGACGATGGGGTGGTATAGAGGACAGGGTGTCTGGAGCTGCGTTGAAGCCCCATGGGGGTTGGGAGCACATTCCTGGTAGGGTCAGGGGAACGAACATCTGCTATAACCTATGCCCCCCTTCTTTGATTTAGAAAACCAATCGTCTCCTTACAGGAATTTTAAAATACATTGCCATGGCGGTAAAATGGTATTTCGGAATATCTCATACCATACGTGTAGATCTACTGATAAGTTTGTGTTTAATGCTAGAAAAAAATTATTATTTACATGCTTAAGCTTGTTTTACAAAATCAAACGGTGGATTGGGGGGGGGGGGGGGGCTAAAAAGCAACGGCCCGGGATCCGCCGTTGAATTGCATGTTTAATTTAAAACTGTCTTGAAAGCACTGATGTCAACATTCAGCATGATAAATATATACTCAGTAATCTAAATCATACTTTAGAAAAGCTGCATGATAATTTTCAATAATTTAATTCTGTTTGTAACGCTGTATTTCATTGGATAAAAAATTACTTTATATCGTATAAAATGGGTTGCCTACGTCACAATGACCGTCAAAAACGTATCAATCCGCCTGACGTTACATTCAAATTTTGTACAAATTGAAGTCATTTTGTTAGAACAATCATCTTTTTTTCTTACATCAAATGAATGAAAATTAAATTATAAGCAATGAATTTAATAGCTACCCATTTTATACGGTATAAACTGGGTTGGAACAGTTTACGCTTTTTTATAAACCGCTTCGCGGCTTATAAAGCGTAAACTGCCCCAACCCAGTTTATACCGTATAAAATGGATAGCTATTAAGGTCAAGATTTAGTAAATGAAAGGTGCCTACAGATTTATCAAACTTGAGAAATAAATTCCTTTATTGATGCTTTACAACTTTAGCTTGGTCAAATAAGGTGTTTCGGGGCATAATTTGTAGACATACAAGATGAAAAACTGTATTCTAAACTGTCATTTTCAATGAAAAATTAAGAAAACCAGTCATGAATATGAGAGTTTTTTTTCGTATTCGGCAAAGGAAATGTATCCAGATTGCCTACAGTCTCTCAGAAAACGGTAATTAGTATGTTCATGGCCTCTTCTTTAAATCAATATCAAATTTAATATAGGTATCCGATTTACTTTTCATATGATTTCAAATTAAATGACATGAAAATACCCTTTTTTCTACATAATTCTGCTTAAGCCGTAAAGTACGGGAAAAAGAACGTTGAAATTGATTTTGACGTCATAATGGATCTAGCACCAAAAAATTAGTCTCAAGTTATTTACTAGATCTTGACCTTAAATTCATTCCTTAAATAAAACGTTAAAAAAATCTTTTCTTGAACATAAAGTCAATATCACGTCCAATATGAAGGAGACGCTCGTTTTAATAAGAGGTACATGTATATGTAAACTTATGTCGTTTGACTGTTTTTCACTACATATATTGATTGAAAATTTATCATATCATTAATTTATTATGGAAGACTGAAGAATTTGGTTATTCAACATATGCCGGCTCATTGTGACGTCATGTTTTTAATGTATTGCGTCATTGATTTCCATGCAATGTCCCTTGATAAATTTTACAAAGAAGTTTCTGTGGTTTTCATAACATTCAGATACAGGTTTAAACAATAAATTTCTGTAAAAGTATAGATTAGATAATAACACATTCAGATTCAGACTTCAACATTTAATTTCTTTAAAAGTATAGATTTTAATAAGGAGGAAAAGTCACATCTATCCAAAAATGAAGTATTTTCAACTACAGTTTTTCTTAAAAACGTACGTGGCCGCACTTTTGTACAGTTATTTTTTCTCTTGCATATTAGTTACCAAAGTATACTTGTTCTTTCTGCAAAGTTTTGCATATGTACTCGGGTGCGGCCACACCGAAATATAAACTTGAAGAGGAGCAAAACGTCCAAAATAGGTGCTTTCCGGAATATTTGACCGGTTTTGAACGTTATATACACAAAAGGTCACGTGGGTTGAAGAAAATTAATACCAGTTTTTCACAAAGGGGAACCTTAACAATAAATTGACACAGTTCAAAAAATGTTATCGCGCGTTTAATTTTTGCCGATTTTACAGGGCCGCCTCGTTATACATACTGTACCCAGTTCTTAGCGTTACACAAGTCCATGCAGTGTATTGTACAGTGTTTATTTAAATGATTTCTTAGCGGTTTTCATGAATTAGCGCATCGTTGTTTGCGCCAAAATCGCTGAAATATGAAATCCGATTTTTTACACTTTCAGTATTTTACGTCGAATTGACAATATTTCTGCATTATTTTGGAAATTACCGAACTAAAAACGCTGAAAACAAATTGTTAATCTATGATAGTTGAAAAATATTTTTTTTATTCTATACTGCAAAGAAATATTGAATATCTGATTTATATTTAATATTTAAGTGTTTAGTCTAAATGGTTTGGATTTTAACTTAATTTATAGATATTTGCTGTTTAATTCCTTTCAAGAAAAATGAAGTAGCAGTAGTTATGATATTTTTGATTTAAGCCGAAATAAAGGTAAATTAAATCTCGTTCTTTAGAACTCAAAAAAGTATAAAATATTTGAGATATTGAGTATTCACGTTAGAAGGTCCATTAACAATACAAAATAGGAGCAAAGCAAACATAGAACCTCCAAAGTATCAGAGGACTTAGCATCTCCTGCCGACCGGTCGCCATGTTGATATACAATATATAGACGTAATTTAGACCAAAACATCAGTACGGCATATCCTTGATGTTCTTGATAAGGAAGATTGAGATACCATAGTTTAACTGTAAAATTTATTTTTAAGGACAGTATACGATGAAAACTACTCAGTATCTTCATATTTAGGCCACGTACAATGTGGGAGATCTGGTAAAGTTACAGGAAGAAAACAATGAACAACACATAGGAATAATACAGAAACTTTTAACGGATAGTTCCGGTAAGTATAGCAATTTACGTCAATTTTCTTATCTAGTTCCCAAGTATGGTATTGAATATTGTGCTACATGGAAGAAAAACTTTGTACGATAAACAGACTTTACGTTTTGTCACATAAAAGAATTATTGACTGACAAGCAATCTGTATAAAATTGTTAAGAATGTATTGTTGTTGCGTCATAAAGAAATCCTGTTTATAAAAAGGTGAAAACCAATATTTAAAATATGTTTTGACATGACATAAACAAATGTTCATTTTTTGTTTCTTATTTTATTCATTTATTTTATTTAATTTAATTTCTATTTATTTCATTAATTCATGTGTTTACTAATTTATTTATCATTTTGCATATAATGCAATCTTTGAAATTTGAGCGATCATTATATTTATAAGAAAAATATTGTTTTGCATAAATGTTCTCAAACAATTGTCTGGCTGCATCGATGAAACTGAACAATTCAGGGTACTGCAATTTTAATTTATTAAAAAGAGGAGACACCTCAACTAGTAACCCCAAAGAAATATTGAAATTAATTTCTTCTTCGTCCATAAAATGGATGTGAATAAAAAGATATAAAAAAAAATAATCCTTGAAATGTGATATATTTTTTTATTAAATGTTTGCTTTATTGCTGTAAATGCACTAAATTTCAGGTGCTGTGACGGCCTGTGAAATAAGAATGACGGACGGATCCTTAGAGACGGTTACTAAGAACATCAATGACCCGGCCCTGACCTCATATGCCCCCGACAACCCTTAATATATTGCATTGGTTGAGTATCAAATAAATGATTTATTAAGCTTTGATTGCAAAACATTTTTTTATGTCAATAAATAAAATGAAAAAAAAAAACAGCTCATACCTTGAACCCTAGACCAATGGATAGTGTTTTCATATATTTTTATTTTCAAAAAGACAGGCAAAAAAAATATTCGTTTACTTTTTCAAAGAATATCGTTAATACAATCCCGGTCTACAATGAACGATTTACACACTTGTAAAATTAAATAAGTTATACAATGTATCACTAAAACACAAGAGGTCATGTCTTTCTAATTTTTTTTCTTTAAAAATAATTTAAAACAATTAACTGTTGTATTCATTGTAGATAAGAATTATTCAAAAGAGAAAAGAGACATTTAACCCTTGAATATTTGATATTGACAATTCTTTTTCTCACTAATATAACATTACATTATATCGGTAAATTCAATAATATCTTTATTGACGCAATATATAAAACACAAGTTAATTGAACGTAATTTACAAGAAATAGAAATCACTAGAAGCAAAATTTAAAATTTTAATGAATTTTCTTTGTTCGGAATTGACAACTTTTTATCACCATTAATTTAATAGGTCGTTTAAATTTTCCAACCACTAAAAGACGACCTATACCCAGGTCGACTTATAATATGACCAGAAGTCGGCTGGTTGGGATTTCGTCTGACGTACACCTCGTCACCCTGATTTAACTGTAACACAACGACCCCGGTTGCGCTGTGAAATTCCGTAGTGTGTGAACTATCGGCCACGATCTCCCCCGCAACCTCGGAATTCCTCATCAGCTGCGTGTACGCTATCCCATTCCACGTGCTCTGAATTACCCAGGTAAAGACGTAAAGACCCGGATGTGGGGCGATAAACATTCCACTAAGGGTATGGAAGCCATTTCCAAGGTTTATTTGAATGACGTCGAAGTCAATGATATGTTGGCGCCCTGAGCCTAGTTCATCGCCGCTAACATAGCCATAGAAAGCGACTTTCTCTTCATCTGTCGATGTTGGCACTATAAAGCACAAAGAAAAGAAACATATTATTCTAACACTTGATGTTGTTTCATAATATTGACAAATAATTTTCTAGATCGTCATTGAATCATTAATTTTTAAAAGAATTCTGTGGCTTTCTTTTAAGCAATATGAGCTGCAACTTGGATGTTGCAAATTTTTATAGCAAATTTATATAAAACTATTTTAATGACAGAAAAAGAGAGCGTAAATAAATTTTTGTTGTTCATATTTACGATGGAAGAACTATTTTTAAGCTTTTATTGAAGCAAAATTACATTATTGTCGTCCTGTACAATATTAATTTCTTATATAATATTAAAAATTTT